GATGCTATAAGCCTAAGGGTTAGAAAAGCTTTCCAAATGGTTGTGGATTAAGGACCTGCGTTGGCTCAGCAGGGGGAAATGGTCAAGTAAACCATTCAGGACCACATGGTCTTGAAGCAAATGGAGCCATATTAGGGTGAAAAGAGGTACACCTGAAGAAAAACTTCAAGTACGTTTTAAATGCCGCCTCTCGATTCAGGTTGTTGTTGGACGACGTCATTGCATCAAGACGAGGACCTTCAATGGCAAGATTGGTAAAGAATGTCTCTTGTGCTTCTGAAAGTTTCAATTTAAGTTAATTCCTAAAGGTGGAATATAGCCACAATTGCAGCAGCTAAAATGGCACATCAAGTAGATAGTTGGAAGTCGATGTATGATAAGTCATTTGGTCGACCCCCATACTAAGCGATTCATACAACGACCCCAAGATGAGTTTGCTCAAGCAAGTGTTTCGACCCTTGTGAAGGTGATGCGCCAATGCAATAAAATGTTTGGCCATCTTCAGAGACCTACTGCAAAAAATATAGTTAGAGATCCACAAGGCTAAAAAGGCGATGTTCTCTTCATCAAACACTGTGTCGACATCCTTAGCGTGAAACCAGTAACATCCTTATCAAAAGGAATAACGTCTTCATCAACTTCAGTAGGGATGAAAGTTTCACTTGTAGGGAGAAGGCTAGTGACAGCCGCAACATCGAACAGAGTGAGAGTCAGCATACCAGTCGTGAAATAGAAAGTGTTCATGGAACTCTCCCAGAAGTAGAGGGCAAAAAACATCATATAGTTGCAATAACTAGGGCTAACCCTAGAAAGTTGAATGTCAAAAATTCCTTGGGATGTCCAAACATCAACTTTATCTTTCTCTACCTTATTTAACCATGCATTGTAATCCTGGTTGATAGCAGGAGTGCAGCGAAAAACTTTTGAGGTCCTATAGATGTGGGAGAAATCTAAAGGACACTTTCGGGCGATGGGGGGCCTTGTGCTTCTATGAACAGGGAAGCACTTTTTCATATCTTTTGGTTCCCTAATCTCATCAGGGGTAGGTATCATGAGAGCATACACAGTTTTGTTACAGATAAATGGAAGCAACAGGTTAGAACGGAAAGTAGCAATGTTGTATGATGGGTTTGGCTCCAACACAAAAGTTTGTCCATCAACAACAAGTAAATCAAGCATGGTGGAAACTAGCTCAACTGCGTAAGGAGTGTTAATGTGTTTATCAACTTGGCTTGGAGAGGCCATGGAAGATGAATGGAAGCTTTGAATGACAATGAAGGTGGGTTTTTTTTGCTGAGTTTGGAAGCTAGAAGATTAAGGATGCAAATAAAGTGTAAAGATAAAAATGAAGGAATGAAAGGGGTATTTATACCACCAAAGAAACCAAACGTTTGAAAAGAAAGTGGGAAAAAATTGTGGCTAAACGAACGACACATGTCAAATAGATGGAAAATGAGGTGAGGAAGTTGGTAAGTTGGAGGCCACGATTATCCTAGGAAGTTGAAGCTAGAAAGTACGGAAGTGGATATGTGATCGCTGATGTAACGTTTGAAGAACAAGGTCATGATTACAGTGACGTCACTTCACACTAATAGGAAAGGATTAAAATGTTTGTTTCTGTTCTTTCAGTCGAAAAGGAAATTTCGGGGGGCAATTTGTTGGCTAGGATTTTCATAAAGAGAAAAATTCAAACCAAAAGTCAAAAAGTTTCTTTTAAGAGCATTAAAGAGCATTAAATTATGAGGAGTCGACTGCATAAGCATGTCGACCATGGATGATCTCACAGGTAGTCGACCAAGATTTTGTAAGTGCAGTCGATCAGAGAAGGGTTCATGGTGAATGGATTGGGCCCAAGAGAGGTAAGAAGCCCAAAAGGGTTAAAATGCCCATAAGCGCCTAAACTGTAAAGGCAAAGCGCTATGGAGGGAAAATGTGGGTTTGATATCAGGAGTGATGAACGTGGGATCATGGAGAGAAGTTATGAAGAACACGTGGCGTGCAAGGAAACGAAGCCCACTTAAAAAGCAGTTATTTCTATGTATTATAAGTAAAGCACTTAGTGCACTTTGTAAAGGATCAAACTTTCACATTCCTGTACGCTAGTCACTCAGTAACCAAGCGAACGAGTAAATGAGTCAGGAAAAGGCAATGTATGTTTGAACCAACCTATTTTCAACCTTTCTTTAAGGTTATGTCATTACCTTTTACAATTTAAAACACTTTTTTATCTTATTTACTTTGTCTTTTATCAAGTGGTTTGGCTCTCAGTCGAACGAACATTTTTCAAAACACTTTAACTACGCACACGAACTGAAGCACTATACTGATATTCCCTAGTCAATCTCGCCAGTAAACTTGTTTTAAAGAGACCAGTGTTGTTTACCAAATCTAGAGGTAAACACTTGTTTATGACCTAACTCAGTACCTTTTCTATGTTGTTGTTCTTTCTTTTTTCAATTTGAAGTTGAGTGTACAATACAAGAGCAATAATTGCAGAATTCGGGGACTTTTTCATATTTTATTTCTACAAAAAAAAAAAGAAGCAAAGCCAACCCTCTCCATCAATATTTTGTAACTAAACTCTTTTGTAAGATCAAGATCCACTAGAACCCTAACAAAATGATCAAAAGGTCTTTCAAAAGATGACTTATTAGATGTTAGGTCAATACAAATTGGAGTTCCCACACTATTTGCACTTGCAGAAATAATTCTTAGTTTCCAATATTCTTGGGAAATACCATGTATTTTAATCCAAACTTGCACGTATGTTTAAGTGTTGAAAGACACAAAATCATTTGCCCAAGAAAAAAGTTTGAGAATATCTTGGTTTATAGTCCAAGCATTCACGGATCTAACCCGATAAATATCTTATAGTCCAAGCATTTACGGATCTAACCCGATAAACATCCTCCAAAAAGGAGAAAGCAAACTCGAAAAAGCTTTTTCCTAAGGATGTTACACCACATTGACCTATGGAAGGTCAAAGTTCCATTAGTTTAAGTTTCAGGTTGACAACACTTAATGGTGAAGACCCTTTAGACCATACCACTCTTCTATGAAGGTGGTGTTTACAAGCCTCTACTCCTAACTTATACCCTTCTTCGGGGATAATAATGGCTAGTCGACCCCCCCTTCAAACAAGGAACATGTAGTTGACTTAATGGGGGTGTTACAAACATTGTTAGAGACCATTGAACCAAAGGATTTTACACCTTTTGAATTGCTTTTTGAGACTGAATATTATGAATGAGAAAATATGAGGTTTTGGGAAATAGAAGGTGTACATCCATGGTGAAACTAATAGAAAAAGAGGTTAAAGATTGAAGAACTAGTCGTTAGGTCATCAATTTCAAGAATCGCCATAGCGTCATCAAATAATTATTAATTAATAATTATATTAATTTAATAAATTCATTTTTTATTTGGTAATTAAATAGGTTTGCAAATAGATTATAGACTTTTAAAAATGTCAGAAAAAAACTTATAATAAATCATAAATAGACTTTGGCCTCAAATATTCTTTACAAGTTAGGTTCAAGTCTTTCAAATTTCAAAAAGTCTAACTTTGTCTGACCTATTCCCCTTATTTGTGATTAATCGTGTACATTTCTATTACATACAAATGGACCGTTCAGACAAAGACCAATAACTGACAATGATGTTCTTTCTCAAGCAACTGATTTAGAATTAATGAAAAATATAAAACAAAATTACAAATCAGAACCTCCTCTAATATAAAACAAAATTATAAATCATAATTTCCTCTAATTTTGGCCAACACTTAAACTTTTAAGCCTAAAATCATTAAAAAAAACCTTATGCACTAATATTAAAAAAATTAGCTATTTAATAAAATAAAAAATTATAAAATTAGAAGTATTTGTTTGATATCATAATTAGTATGTATATCTATGATATATTTACCACAATATCAAACATGCATTAAATTTAAATGAATAGTAGTATGTACATAAAATGTAAAAAATTAGAGGACCGAAAACCTAAATTTTAAATAAAATAGAGCTACGGTGCTACTAAATAATGAAATATTATTTAACATATATATTACACACCAATAATAATTCTTACAGTATTCTAACACAGTGGTTGACTATTGTATAAATAATTGGGCAAGCAGGTGTCATCCTATTGTTTGAAATTTTTTAATATTAGTAATTATAATAAATGCAAGAGAGTTCTTTTAATGGTCCTACATGTTAGACTATTAACAAGACTAAGTAATATATAAGTAGGAAGTACTACATGCTCTATACTTCTAGTCCTAGTAGTAAAAACAAAGACTAGTCTTATTAGTAAAAACAAACATATGTCAGTCATTAAAGTAGAAAAAGATAGAGGTATAGTTCTCAAACTTTTGAGTTAGAGGTGCAAAGCTGAAATTTTGAGGGGATTCAAAATAAAATAATATAAGAATATTAGCTGTATTATGGAAAAAAATCAGGGGGTGCAGTTGAACCCCCTCACCAAAGGGTGGCTCCGCCCCTGCCTCTATCATTCTCTCTATTTTAATATTTATCTGTATCATTAACATGTTATGGATTTTGACAATACGCTCAATTGAATACCATATAAGAATATGGATTGAATATTACCTTTAAATGAGTTACATGTATGGTGTTCAAATGGATTCTTAAAAGAATTATTTTGCCACCTTATAACAGATACAACTGATGCATCAAAAAATCAATTTCTACAAGTTGCACAAACTAAAGCTAACTGAAAAACAACATTTTCTGAAACAAAATAAGAAATACAAAATCCTCGTTATTATTAAACAACATGAAGGTTATCTGTTAGTTCTTTAAACCAAAAACTACAGACAAATATCCTACAGTTCATTCTCCTCAAGGAAGCTCAACAGATTATACAAAGTCCAAAGAAACTAAAACAAACAAAAGAAATGAATTCTTTGAAAAGAGAAAGATAATATGAAGAGCTTCAGGAGCCACTGCTTCTCTCTGAGGAAAATAAATTGGTCCTTAGTTTTGCAGCATCCATTGCATGATGTCCTTCCTAATAATGCCTTCTGACCGGTAAGTATTACAGTTTGATCTAAAAGTATCATGAGGATAGATACTGAGGTACCGATAGTGGGTGGTTGTCCCGGCAGGATTTGGTAGTCGCAACATACTTGCAATGGTGGGGAAAGGTTTTGGCCATATACTTGATGATGGGGTAAATAAACGCTTATTTGATCCCCTCCTGAATAAGGTGTAGTAACTAGGTCTTCTGAAGTAGGAAGACTTAGTTTGAAGATTTGACGTTCTTATACTTGAACTAGCCTCATTTGTGGGTGATCCACCATGAATCTGAGCTGACGGTTTCATTCGATCAAGCCATCGCAAAATGAAGTTTCCGAGATTCCGACCAACTTCTATGTCCCTTTCTTGAATGTTCTGATGAACTTTGACCGCCACATCAAATACAGAACGTGTTCTTCTGTGAAATGACAACATAAAAACCAGTGATGAAATTGTATTATGTCAAACTATGGCTTGTAATACAAACAAAACAATATGGTCATGTCTTCATTGAAAAGCAATGGAGAAAAAAGGGGAAAGGAAAAGATCAAACAATCATGATATTCCAAAGATTCTCAAATCACAGAAAACTAAAAATCCATGTTCAATGATAAAACTAAAAATCCATGTTCAATGATTAGAATCTGTTCTAGACTGGGCCTACCCTTGGCCCAACTCCATGTGAGGCCCAACTCAATTATGTCGGTCAAGACATACTGGCCAGTTCTGCCCTCGACTGCGTCGGGCAGCAACTTCCACTCCCCGCAAGGAGGCAACCTCACCGCACGGAGATGGACCCATTTAGTCTTAGGAAGATCATTGCCGGTCAGGAGGAGCTCGAGGTCACCCTCCCGGTCCTCTCTCCGACTAAGACTGATCTCCTCACACGACCTCGCGTCTGGCAGGGAGCATCCACGACGAGCAGAAGAACCTCACGAGCATCCTCCTCGTAGAGCTGACTATCAACGTCTCCGAACATCACGGAGTCTTCGTGGCCCCAGAAAGACCGCATCCATATCCTCCTGATCTTGGGGAGGAAGTCATCCAGGTGGGGGACCACGTGCGGGTCCCCACTGCTCACGTAGGACCTGATAGTCTCCACTTTAGACCTGCTTGACCAGCCCAATGAGGAGACCTTGGGTCAGCACTGGGGCCTATAAATACCCTCTCTTTCGAGAGGGTCGGGTATTGAACATCTCTTACTCACTCTTGCTTACTAGCTCATTCCGTATCTCATTTTGGCATCGGAGTGTCTTGCAGGTACCCCTCCCACCTCACTCTCTAGTTCTGCTCAAAGTAAGTTGTGACGGTCCATTCTGGTCAGACATGATCAAAATCCATGTGCAATATATTTGCAAAAAGCCAAAACAATGCTTATAGTTGATCTCATATGACAATTACTAAACAAAATGCTCTGAAATCTTATTTTATCTCTTGTCAGACTGGTTACAGTTATGATGCTTAGCAGTAAGACTACTTATTACAACGTGGCCACAACGGTTCCAAGTTCCAATCCTTCCCTAGACTATCCTATAGTTAGAGCTTTTTAGTACCAGATTTCCATTGACTTGAAGAAAAATGCTAGATTACGTAACATCAGGACAAATGCAAACACAAACACCAAAGTTTATAGAGATTCTATTTGTTCATAAGCTGTTCAAGGCTGTGAATCATAGGGAGGTGGTTAGGCATCGTCAAACTAGTTCGTCAAAGAGCCAACCTATGCATGCTTCCGAGGAACCTATTTGTTACTACGCCCTAAACCTTATAATAATAAAAACTTCATGGCTGTAGTTTCAGTATTAAGCAAGGGTTACTGTAAACATGGTTGGACATTTACCAACATACTAGTTTGTCAACAACATTACAAATTAATGTATCACCAACGATAAAATGAAATATACTACTACACAAATAAAATGATAAATCAGGCACATCTCAAAGTAGAGCCACTTAGGCAACATATCATACTTCCAAAGGCAAGTTTTTAGAATTACAACACAAAACAAGAAATAAGACAACTTATGTCTAGGATCATATCCAAACCAATCAAAAATTATCATCAATAAGCTTTCATAATAAAACTCTTACAAATCCCCCTATTTCTAGTAATCTGAAATCGAATGATGATGAAAACTTCCCAACAGTTCTAGTAGCAAAAAGACATTTGTATCTAAAGTAGAGAACATTATCTTTTCAGCATCAGACATCGTGTGAATCAATACAACAAAAATATCATATAAGATCAACTTCGATGATCCATAACATAAATACTAAAGAACAACTTCGAGATCCATAACACTAACACAAACACAGACACATCTTTTTCAGAGGTGTCGGTGCTACAGAGCTAAAAATCCATATTCAATGTTTAGGATCCTTGTTCATTATATTCACAAAAACTCTAATCCTTATAGCTGATTTCATGTGACAATTACTAAATGACAAGATCACATTGTAACCGCGACAGTAATCTAAAATCATAAACCACCAGTTATCACTTTCAATAGAATGTAACATATAAATTTTCACAAAATCGACATCATATCACAGAATAAAACCTAATAGAAAAAGTAAACACTAACAATTTTCTGCATTTAGGTAAAAAAATTACGAGTGTTCCAATACAAATCCAGTGCTTAATGGAAAGATTGAATTGAAATTGAAAAAGTGAATACCTGTGAAGAAATTGGCGGATCTGAGAGTGGTTAGGGTTTATGACCCTACGTTGAATCCTGAGAGCGAGCCTGTAAGTTCGTTTGAGACCCAAAAAATACGCAGTTCCCAGTATAATCTCCCATAGCACCATGCTCGCGATTTGCCTCTAATTTCTTCTAATTAGTTTAATTAATTAATACTATTATTAATGTTAATTGTAGTTATGTTCTTCGAACTTTAATATTATATCATTTCCTTGCCTGTTGCGCAAGTTTCTTTTCGTTTCTCTAGCCGCCACACTTAGCGATCGATCGCAGTATTTTGTTCGTGTCTCTTGTGGGTTCATGGTTGCCGTTCAGTTTTGTCCTCCGATTCATCTCAACCGTTGAATTGTTTTATAGAAACCTACGAGCGTGTCGTTTTGTCGTCCCATCGTAAAGGGACACAGTATAAGTTATAGTCAAGGTCCAAATACAAGTCCATCTCCATGAAATAATTTCTTTTTCCTTCGTTACACTTTCTTAATTATTTTTTGCGATATTTTCTTTTCGTCTTCAGAATCTCATTTTTAAACGCACTATTATTTATTTATTTTAAAGTTATTTTGGAGATATATTTTCAAAACATTTATTTTTTTTAAATCGAGTGTTTCGGAAATACATATATGAAATAGGATATGACATAAACAAATACAAACAATCACTTTCTTATTTTCATTTCATTCAAAATCTAACTCTCAAACACCCAAAAATCTCTATTTTCAAATATCATTCAAGTTGGTTCATTTGCACTTATTACAACTCACACCAACTCTCAATTTTATCAGAATTCAACAACTCTAAAAGTTTCAAACTTCAGAGTAAGTTCTCCAATCAATTTTAATCTTTGCATTTATGGTCGCCAGTTAAGTGGCTAAACTGAAACAATGAACACAGAAAATAATTCAGTGATATTGAGTTCCTTAGAACCCGGTTACTATTTATAGGACAGGTTGAGCCAACTAACTTCAAGAGGGTACTTACCTATGAAACCCCTTGCAAGCCTGAAACTAGGATCTTGTGTGACTTGTTTGTACATATGCTTGTGCATACATCATGAACATCATAAAGCATCATATGCATCCACTAACCATTTCAAGGGTTTGGATCTTCATCTTTGTTCTTGTTTTGTAGGTTATGGAATCTCTTCGCAGGAAAATAATTCAAGTCAACCTTGTGAGAATACCTCCTCAACTCAAGGAGCTTACTTCCAAGATTCCAGAGAATTCTCTCTTCAGTGAAAGACATGGTAGACTTCTCAACTTGGTCAACTCCAACATTGAAGAAGACATGGTGAAAGTCCTCTTCCAGTTCTTTGACCCCCTACACCACTGTTTCACATTCCCTGATTACCAACTAGTACCTACTTTGGAGGAATTTTCTCAACTCTTGAGGATTCCTATTCTCCATCAACTACCCTACAACGGTACGGAAAGAGAACCAAAGCCTGAAGATGTTGCTCAAGCCCTACACTTGCAACCATCTGATATCAAAGGTCATTGGGAAACCAGAAGTGGTGTCAAGGGTTTCTTGGCAAAGTTTCTGTTTGAGAAGGCACAAGACTGCTAGAATTCTCTAGATCTACAAGCCTTTGAGGAGATTGTAGCATTTCTCATCTATGGGTTGATCTTGTTCCCAAACCCTGATCAGCTTATAGATGTGAATGCTGTCAAGATTTTCATATTTCGGAATCCTGTGCCTACATTGCTTGGGGATATCCTACACTCATTTCACACACGAACAATGAGGAAAAGTGGTGTTCTCATGTGCTGTACTCCTCTTCTAGCAAGGTGGTTTATTTCTCACCTTCCCCAATCAGTTTTGAAGAATGAGCAGGGTTTAAGGTGGTCACAACGGTTGATGACCCTCACACATTCTGATGTTCATTGGTGTTCTCAATCCAGAGAAAATGTCATCATCATTGATCGTTGCGGAGAATTACCTAATGTCCCATTACTTGGCATTAGGGGAGGAATTACCTACAACCCTTGTTTAGCTCTGAGGCAGTTTGGGTATGCCCGAAGAGATGGCCCTCATGATATGTTAATTTTTGGCGTGGTTTTTGACTTCGACAACGATGCGCAAGGACTTCGACAAAGGTTTATCTGAGCTTGGAGGATGCCCAACAAAGTGGATAGTAAGACACTGGGGCACAAGAATTCCATCCCTCTTGAGCCTTATCTCAAGTGGGTACGAACCCGCGCCCAGAGTCTTATGATGCCTTATCCTCACATTCTCCCCGTGATCAAAGAGCCTGTTATGGAAGGAGAGGTTCCATACACCCTCCTACATCCAGACATGCCAACATCATTGGAAGAATTGCAAAAGAGTTGGATACAACTCAAGGAAGAACGGAATACTTTTGAAGCCAGCTTCTATGCCAGTGAGAAGAAGATTTTGGAACTTACCTGCCGACTTCACAAAGAGGAGACTCTTAACACTTACATCGCACCAAAGAGGATGCGCAACGTCTTTTTACATTAAGATTTTTGTAATATTTTGCCCATGGGGCATTTATGTACTAACAAATTTCTTCTTATTAATATGATGTGCGTTCTTTTTTGTTTGCAACAAATTTGAAATTCTGAATCCTTGAATGCATTACATGAATAACATATCATTCATCATATGCATAAACAGGTCGTCACACCAGGTTTCCTTATCTTTCTGCTGTTTATTTCAGCAAGATGGATATAGAGCAGACGGTTAAAGATCTGCAAGCACAGAATTCGCAATTCCAGCAACTCCTCATGACCTTGGCAAAGGGTCAAGAGGATCTTAAAGCACTGTTAGAGAAAGAGAAGGAACCAGAAAGGAAGAAAAAGAAAAGAATTGGTGTGGCCACTATGGAAAGAAGATTTGAGCATCAGGCTAGGAGAGTTCTGGAGTTCCCCTCGACGTCTGACGAAGGGGTTGGTAAAGGAAAGGGAGTTGCAATGCCCTCCAAATCTGAAGCTGAAGAAGAAGAAGAGGAAGAGGATGAAGATTACTTCGAACAGCAATACCCTCCGGTGGATGATAAGTATAAGAATCTTGAGGATCGGTTGGCAGCCATGGAGTTGCAAAGGGTACCTGAGCTAGATTTCGAAGAACTAGGGTTGGTTGTTGGGATCGTCATTCCTCCCAAGTTCAAAGTGCCTACATTTGCTAAATACGACGGTCTGTCCTGTCCGAAGATGCATCTGAGATCCTACGTCAGAAAGATCCAACCTCATTCTTCTGATAAGGATCTGTGGGTCCACTTTTTTCAAGATAGTTTGTCGGGTACACAATTGGACTGGTTTTATCAACTTGAGAGATCCGATGTTCATAACTGGGAAGATTTGGCTGCTGCTTTCTACCGACAATACCAATATAACGCAGATTTAGTGCCCACTCGTACTCAACTACAGAGTATGGGTATGGCCTCTAATGAGGGATTTAAGGAGTATGCCCAGAAGTGGCAGGATTTGGCTGGAAGGGTGCAGCCACCATTGTCGGATAGAGAGCTGGTTGATATGTTTTTGGGGACCCTGTCAGGTCCATTCTTCAATCACTTGATCGGGAGCTTATCTGGAGGGTTCACCGAATTAATTCTAACGGGTGAAAGGGTCGAAGCTGGCATTAAGAGTGGTAAGATTCAGAAGGATGCCTCCGCTTCCACTGCTATCAAGAAGACCTTCCCAGCCAAAAAGGAAGTTTCTGCTGTTCATACCCAGAGAAATCAAGGGAGAATAGAGCGCCGACCAACGGTGGGGGCTGTGATGATCCAGAATTCTTTAACCGATCAACCTCGCAACAATTAACCTAGAGCTAACCAGCAAAGGGTAGAAAGGCCACAACGGCAATTCACCCGGATCAATATGACACTGGCTCAAGTCCTCCCTCATCTGTTAAAGCTGAACCTTACCAACTTGAAAGAAGCGCCGAAAAACCCAAATACCTCTTCTCCCTATTATCATTCAAATGCAAAATGTGCATACCACTTGGACAGTGTAGGGCATGATACCAACAACTGTTGGGCCCTTAAAAAGAAGATCCAAGATTTGATAGATGCCAAGGAGGTAGAGTTTGATGCCCCCGAAAAACCTAATGTGATATCCGCCCCTATGCCAAAACATGGTCATAATGTCCATGCAATTGTGGAAAATCTTCATGTTACCGCTGTTGATGAATTAATGACTCTGTTGCCAATGATTAAAATGAATCTGTTGAAAGCCGGGATTTTCCCAGGATGTGAAGAAGATTGTTACTTCTGTTCAACCTTGCAATCCGACTGCCCACTGTTGAAATCAGGCATCCAACGCCTGATGGATACTCAAGAGATCCTCTTTCAAAAAACTCATGTTGTTGCTATCACTCATGTTACTCCTGTTACCTTTGTTACTCCAATCAATGACATTGCTATAATCACCATTTCCGACAATCTTTCCAAGACCTGCAAAAGGCCTGTTAAGATTACGCCTGATCCTAAGTTTGTACCGCTGAAGATTACCATGCCAGGGCCTATCCCTTATAAGTCCAACAAGACGATACCATGGAACTATGGAGGAGAGATCTTCTACCATGGTGTTAAGCAGATCGAATCAGTCCAAGAGAATTCCGATGAAGAAACTCCTGACATAGGGAATATTGTGGGGACAAGTAAGATAACTCGTAGCGGAAGAATCTTCTCTCCGGAGATTGCTCCTCCACGGGAATTCTTCGGACCCTCAAGTGCTCCCGTGCCTGCCAAGATATCTGTGCAAAGCCCGGTTATTGAAGAAATTGATGCTCCCGAAGATATACCCTCTGCTGTTACTGCTGATAAAGGTAAGGGGATCCAAGAGGCACCTTTCAGGACGAAGGCTCAGACTTTGATTATCCCCGAGACCACCCAAAAGGAGATGGAGGAAATCTTAAAGATAATTAAGAAGAGCGACTACGATGTCGTAGAGCATTTGGGGCAAACCCCTTCAAAAATCTATATGCTGGCTCTATTACTCTGCTCTGAGGCTCATGCCAAAGCCTTGATCAAATTTCTGAAGACGGCACGCGTGCCTCAAGAAACTTCTGCGGACCAGTTTCAAGAGTGCGTGGCTAGCCTTACAGTCGATAATGGTCTTGGTTTTTCTGATGCTGATTTGACCCCTAA